GGTCTCACTCGTCTAATAAAAGTCAACAATAATGACTAGTTTTTCAATTTTAATCCGATTTTAATCTCTACCGAACACGCCCTGAGACCCTTTTAATTCAATTTTCAAGATTCTAATTCTCAATTTTATGTGTTGATTTTAATTATAGTTGTTAATGCTTTGAAATACTTTAATTCAACGATCTTGTGAATTTATAACGAGCATAGAGGGAAGTTATTGGTTTAAACTACATAATAAAATTGGGGAATTATTATAAAAGTGTAAAGATACATTTCTAATTAATGCGGTCGTTATATAAATTGTTAGAAATTTAAGGCATTTAACTAAAGTATATCCTGATTCACATAAATGTATGAAATTGACTTAGTTAAATAGAATCAATTTGAACTCAAGCAAATTGAATACATTAGACTCAACACTACATTAATTCAATTTTTGTGTGCATTTCAATACATCAAGCTAGTTAGTATAACTTAGATCAACAACCACCAAATTATAAATTGTTTTTGTCAAATGAAAGTAGAATAGTAAATTGGAAATAAATAACAGTCTATATGGGAACGAACGATTATCTGGACTAAAAGGTTGATTATATTACTTGTTCGATATCGTACATTTGCGATAGGAAAAACGCATCCTGCTAGGGTAAAGACTGAAGCATAGGTAGATTTTTTAGTTCAGTGCTCACTTTTGAAGCTATATTTTCTTCCAAGTAAACAAGCTATATTTGGAGGATCTCTCATTCCTGTACCTTTTTTCGTGTTCCAATCTTTATGTTGATGCATGGTCGAGGAGACAAGAGATTGGAAGTAAGCCTTTAATAGATATACACAAGGAGCAGCTGCTTCATTCCCTAAGATGCAGAAACAGTAGAAAATATATCTATTGAAGGTCATTATATAAGTCGTTACAGCTCCATGAAACTATCGAGAGATGGACGTAAATATGAGGAGGCGAATGACATCTTTGGATTAAGAGTAGTATTGAGTCCTGCATCTGGATAAGCTGGGGAAAAAGCATGCTACATATGCTATTAAAATTTATTACGCCTCGTCCCACGAGACACACCAACGTTACGACATGTCAACTGAAGTGACGTGTCTGAGGTCGAACCTCCATGTCCAAAGTGATGTGCCACGGGTTGCTAGTTTCCGGTAAGCCGACGTGGCCAACTCTATTTAACTGTTACAAGTATCTACGAAAGGAAGGAATATACTACAATAACATTATCATGGGAAAAATCACATAGAATGTGAAAATTTTGATGAAATTCTCCTGACTTCTTCTAATAAAGAGTGAAAATTTTGATGAAATATATGGGATAGAAAGGGCAATCTTACAGCGTAAATCTTCTCTATAGGTTCTTATCATTGGTTAGTTTATTGCTTTATAAAACACGAGACAAATGGCGTTGCTCACGTGTGCGTCGAACTCCCTTTTGCACTTTCAAGATAGAATTTGTATAGGGAAAGGCCCGCCCTCTGTCGAAGTTATGCTACTTGCTGATGAGTTCTATCGTTCCCATTTTTTGAAAATTATAAATTTTGGAATAGTGATTGATTGAAGAATGTGTGGATGAAAAGTAATGAAAAAATTTAGATTTATATTTAATATTATTTTATTTGGAGAATGTGTTGTTATAATTAAGAAAGATAAATTTTTTTAAAAAAAAATTAATGGGTGCCAAACACGCTTATAATTTAAGAAATGTCGTGAAAACAAAGATTTAATTTAAAATTACATCTAGACCTGACGAGGTTTAGGGGATCGGACCATGTTATATTGATTATGTCAATGAACAGGTGCCCGTGCCTTCGCCTAACAATCTAAACCACTTGCAAGAATAATTAATCTTCGACCTGAAACTTCCTTACATCAGATAAAACAAACATCATCAACCCTCGATTCGGCATCTCACAACAACAACTAGCCACCCCAGAAAAGCCCAATGAAATCAAGAATAACCCATGAGATCAGGCCAACATACTGACACCACTGAACGAACCATCGGTAGCCATAAAAATGCTGGATTATCTGTTGTTTTTACAGATGAAATTCTTCTGTAACAGTAGCATGATTAAAAAATGCTGTGTAAAGGGCCAGCAGTAGCCTCTCCTTTCTTGAATTCCCGTAAGCTTTTTTCCAGGAAAATCCTATTCATTTCAAGCCCAGCATTTTACAATTCTTTGAGGCCTGTAATTCAATGGAAGTCTGTTAGGAGTAGTACCTCTAGAAGAATGGCTTCAAGAGTTGTTACTCCTCGTGCTCTGCGGAGAAACTCAGAGACCCCGATCAACTTATCGACTCTGTGGAAACTTTTATTTTTGATTGTGATGGTATGATTCTCTTAAAACTATTCATTTATGTTAAATTAAGTCCCCCTTTGTGTAAACGCACTGCGATATTGATTCATTGAGTGTACTAATGTGTAATTATCCCAGGATCAACAGTAAATCATTGTTGTTTTGTGTAATACAACGCTGTTTTTCGTTTTTTCCTTTTTTCCTCTGCCTATGCCCTTTGGAAATTGTTGAATTAATATAGGGTAATGTCTAGGCAGTTGTTATGAGGAGAAGCAAGGAGGCCAATAGAAGAAAGAAAGAAGAAGGAGCAGCAAACGAAGGAAGGAAGAAGAAGGAAATAACGGATGCAACTGATTTCGAAGGCCAAGGAAACGGTGTCGTATTGGTAGTATTAATATTTGTAGTTGAAAGTGCGTTTTATCACTTCCACCACACGTTTCTCTCCACCTATTATAACCTGATAGAGGGAAAGTATGGGGTGTGCTTTTGACGTGATTTCGTTCCTCTTCCCCAGGTCGTCTTCTTCCTTTCTTCTCTATCATCTTTCTTCTCTATCGTAAGGTTTTAACTTTCATTTAAGGTTGTAACCTTCATTTTAGTGCAGTTAATTTCATTTGGTGTTAAATTTCAATTTCATTTCTGTGTTAAATTACTGGTAAGCTTGAATTGAGATTATTTTGAGGTTCAACCATAATAGCAGTGTTATTCTCTCTTTCCAATAAAGAAACCAGGGATATTACAAGCAGGGAATTGGTAGAATTTTTTAATTTCCAATTCAAATTTCAAACCTATACTTTGATACTTTGTTTTGAGGAAGCATACTGTTGCGCATAATGTGTTAATCTCTTGTACAATTTCTTCGATAAAATTCCACTTCAGGGAAAATATTTCTTCAGATAATATATGAATTGCTAGAATTTCATTATCAACTATTTAATTGCAAGAATAGCATAGGTGCATAAAATTATTAAGTGATTTAACTTAGTGCGTAGATATAGGGAAACAAAAAATAATGCTTGCGGAGTTCCCTGTGCCATTACTGGTGGAACAAATT